CCGGCCTCGGGCCATGGCCACTCGTGGCAGAACCATAGTGGTGTTAATAAAGGTGTGTGCAAGGGGCAGCACGGCATGGGCCTGGCTCTGCATGTGTGGTCGGGGGTGAGCCAAGCAGTGGGCAGCGGGAAGTATTGGGGTGAGATGGGGGGGAGGGGGGCAGAGGGGTCTCTACCCCACTTGTGCACTTTGCTTTACGTTGCAGCGAAGTGAGTTTAGACTGGAGACCGGAGACACGTCTCGCAGTCAGAGCGGCGGGGGGGGGGGACGCCAGGGAAGGGAGAGGGCTCTCCATCACTGGAGGACACTGGTGGAGGATGGTGTAGGTGCAGCAATGCCCGTGCTGTGCCGTGGGGTGTCCCAGGCCCCTGGGCTGTGCTAGCCCCCGCCCCCGCTTTCTGCTCCATGTGTCGGGGGGTTTAATCCTCCCCCCCGAGGCGCTGGTGCTGCTGCAGCCCGGGCTGGGGCTGGGGCTGGGCCAATGCTCCTGCTGCACCAACCCCACAGGTCCTGGCTGGGGCAGGAAGGGATTTCCCCCCTGCTCAGACTGGTCACACTGGGGGGGTTTCCCCTTCCCCTGCAGCGGGGGCATGGCAGCAGCAGGACGTTGGCGGCCAGGGACCCCCTGTATCCTGGGGGCAGGGGCAGGGGTGATGCCTGGGGCTGTAGACTGGTCACACTGGGTGGTTTTCCCCTTCCCCTGCAGCGGGGGCATGGCAGCAGCAGGACGTTGGCGGCCAGGGACCCCCTGTATCCTGGGGGCAGGGGCAGGGGTGATGCCTGGGGCTGTGTTGGGGGCGACTGTTGTGTTGGACTTGGGGGTTGTCAGGGCCGATCCTGCCTTGGACCAGGCTGGGCCTGGATGTGACCCCGCAGCTCCCTGCGCGCCCCACTTCCCTGTGACGCTACAAACACGTGGTCTGGTCGCCCCTCCCTGCCCCCGCACCGCTGTGCTCCTTCCCAAGCAGCTCAGGCCCTACCAGCAGCTCCCACAGCAGGGACCCCCCCCCGCCACTGCCTCCTCGGGGACCAGTATCGGCCACGCGCCTCATCTCACCCCTGCCCCCCCCCGGCACCGACTGAGCAAGCAGAGCTGCCCCTGCAGCCCGAGCACCGCGCAGGCAGGAGAGGCGCACGTAACCTGCCGTGCTCCCGCGTGAGGATGAGCGGAGCTGTTCCACCCCAGAGCTGGGCGCATGGGGCAGGGAGGCAGGACGGGAACAGCAGGCCCGTCGCGGCCCCGCACAGCTGCCCCCAGCCCCGC